GAAATTATCCAATTAAATCAAAAATTTATGTTGATGATTTCTAAATTTATCCTAGTTACACGATGAATTTTATACATTGGTCACGTGGGATGCATTTATGGAGGGAGTTTTCATATGAGCGGACCGGCACTGACTGTATTAATATTAATATTAATATTAATATGTGGGGGTGAGCTCATATGACCGACTTTATCGAATTAAATTACTTAATATTAAATATTAATATTAAGAAAATGCGGTGAAAATTTTGGCCGAGTTTACATATGTATACACGATTATGAATTCATGGTAATACCAATTTTCCACTTTGGTTTTGTTGCCAGAAAAAAAAAACCTAAAATCCATTATATAGTAATATATACACTAATATTAATAAGTTAATGTCATGTCATTCATTGAATGGTGGCGATCGTCATCACGGTGTTTTATATAAAAATCTGGTAATAAATTTTGTTATTTTTAAAAAAAAAAATTAACAATATTGCATTCATCTAAAATGTCTAATAGCTTTTCATCCTTAGAAAATATCGAAACATTAATCAACAATTTAATTAGTTCCAACAATGATGCTTCACCACTAAGACATATTAATAAACTTGTAAATGATTTAACCAATTTATTAATTGAATCAGACTTTTATGACGTAAAAATTAAAGTTGGTGTAGACCAGGATGTTAAAATTTTTAAAGCTCATTCTAACATTTTAAAAGCAAGATCCTCGTACTTCAAAGCTGCTTTTTCAACTAACTGGGTTAAAAGATCAGAAGATGGTATTATTTTATTTGAGAAAGACAACATGTCTCCAAAAATTTTTGAAGTTCTTTTATCGTAAGATTTAATTAATTTTACTCGATTAGTTAATAAATCAGATAATATATTTTTTTGAATAACTTATTAAATTATTAACTTTCTTTATTTAAAGATACATTTATAATGGAGTTATTAATATAGAGGATTTGGATCCTTATGAAATTATTGAACTTCTTGAAGCATGCGATGAATTAGATTTTAACGAATTAATTGCTGATTTACAAGGTTGTTTAATTTTAGAAAGCAAAGAATGGATTCAACATGATTTAAATTATCTTTATCAAATTTCATCAAGGCATCAATCGTCATTCAATTTGCTTCAGGATTATTTTAAGGAAATAACTAATGAAGAACCAGAGTTATTTTTAAAATCTGAGGATTTGAAAGAAATTGAAAAGTCAATCTTCATATCTTTATTAGAAAAAGATAATTTAAAATTAGATGAAATTGATGTTTGGAATTGTGCTATTCAATGGGGAATTAGACAAATTGAAAATTTAGAAGAAAACATTTCAGAGTGGAATCAAAATGATTTTAAAGAGTTAAGAAACATACTAAAAGATGTTATTCCTTTAATTCGATTCCAAGATATCTCTAACGAGGATTTTGACCATAAAATTAAGCCTTATCAAAAGCTTTTTCCTGAGTTCTTCTGGAATGACCTTTTACATTATTATTTAATTCATGCTAAAAAACCAACATTAAATCTATTACCATCAAGAAATCCAAAACTTGACTCGATGATAATTAATCAAAAACACACATTGCTTTTTGCAAGCTGGATTGATAGAAAAAATCCACCATATAGTTTACCCAACGAAGTTAAATACAAATTTAAACTTTTATATCGTAGAAGCAGAGATGGTTTAAAGGCAGCAACATTTCATCAAAAATGTGATAATATCAGCAGAACTCTTGTAGTTGGAAAAAGAAAATTTTCAGAACAAATATTAGGAGGTTATAACCCACTTCATTGGAATGGAAATGGTATATTTAAGAATTCAACTGAAAGTTTTATTTTTAATATTAGTAATAAAAATGACACTAATACCGCAAGATTTAGTTATGTCATTAATAATGATTATAATCATGCAATTTGGTGTAGTCCTTCTTGTTTACCTTATTTTGGTAGTGGTAGCGATCTTTGGTTTAGTGAAGATGGTACTATTTCTAGTTATCCAAATACTTACAGTAACTTAAATATGTTAAATAGAAGTAGAAAAATTAGATTAGATGAATTAGAGGTTTTTCAAGTAATTAATAAAGATTAATTAGAAAAGACAATAATAAGTTTGTTTATATACATTATATGAATAAAATTAGTTTATTTAATTACTGGTGGAATTTGTTTAAAGTTTAACATAGTTTCTTTCTTTTTCTTTAAATGTAAATTAATTAATTGGGATTCATTTTTTTATAAAATGGATTCAACATATTATCTGAATACCTCAACGACTTTGACAAATTATTGAATACAGATGTAAAATTTATATTGGTGAAGAACCAAATATATATCAAAGGATTTCATGTACATTCATATATCCTATATTTCCGTATCTCATTTTAAAAATACTTTTAGATAATGCAACAATGCAAAACAGATATTATATTTTTAAAAAACAAATATGATCTTGTTTTTAAAACAACTCTATAATAATATTTATTTATTTATCTTTAAAATCTACGACTTATCACAAATGATAATTTTAATGATTAAAAGCATTTAATCAGGGATTTTAGTCATAAAATTGCATCACATCAAATGTTTTTTCCTGGAAATATTTTGAATTATTATTTAATTCTGATGAACAATTAACTTCAAATCCATTACTACCATCAAGAAATCCTATAATTGAATCAGTAACAATTAACCAAAAGCTTACATTGTCTTTTGAAAGTTTGATTGATCGAAGGATTATACCATATATTTTATTCAGAAATGTTAAATATTAATACAGGCTTTTATATTGTAGTATTAGAGGTAGTTTAAAGAATCAATCTATAAATATTATAATATCAACAAAACTTTGTAGTTGGCAGAATACAAAATTCAGATAAGATGGTAGGTGGTTGGTTATAACCCACCTGGCTGGAATGGAAATAGTATACTTAAAAAAAAATAAAAAAGTTTTATTTTAATATTGGTAATAGTGCTAACGTTGCTCAGCTTAGTTAATGATGATTATGACAACGCAATTTCTTGTTTACCTATTTTATGGTAGTGGTGGCTGTGATATTAGTAATATTTATATATAGTACTTATCATTATAACGGAATTAATGACGAACTCATAAAAATTAAATGTTGGTTTCCAAATTTATAGAGTTTCGCAACTGTACGAAAGTCGAAGGGTTCCTTGGTACTACATAAATGAAGTTTTAGTAAAAATTTTTTGATTTCTATTTGGATATTTGACATGATTGATAAGAGATTTTAAACAAATTAGCAGCAAGAAAAAAAAATTATTTTATTAGGTAAAATCTAAATGGATTCAACTATCTTTGAAATTTGTTTTAATGAAAACGAAAGATTATTAAATACAGAATACCTTTACGATGTAAAGATTTATGTTAATATAGAACCAAATATTAAAGAAGTACATGCACATTCATCAGTTATATGTGCTCATTGACCTTTTTTTCGAAATGCATTAACTGCCGCGAAAAAAAAATGGTTATTATATTATTGAGAAGGCAAATCTTAATGATTTTTAAAACTATACTCAAGTAAGTTTATAATATTATTTATACTATAATTTTCTTTACTATAAATAATAATAATAAATTTTATTTTATATTTAAAAGGTTTTTATATACTTGTAAAATAGAATTAGATGATTTTACTGGATTTGATATATTGCAATTATCGGCTACAGCTGATGAACTTGGCCTTGAGTCATTCTACGAACACACAATGAAGTACTTTATTGAAAACCATAAGGATTACATTAAAGAAAATCCAGTTGAAGTTCTAAGATCAATATATTCTAATGAAGGAAAATTTAAGATATTTATCTTGAAAAATTTTGTGATTTGAGTCAAGTGAATTTGAATTATTGGAAAAACCAATTTTATTGGCTATACTTAAAAGAGACGATTTTAATGTTGATGAAATAATAATTTGGGAAAGTATTCTTAAATGGGGTCTAGCCAAGCATCCAGAAATTAATAATATAAACTATATTAAAGCATGGTCAGAACAAAATTTTACTGATTTAAGGAACACTTTAAAAGAATTATTTTCTTTAATTCGATTCCAGGATATTTCTAATGAGGATTTTTATCTTTTAAGAAACTGTTTTCCCATGATTTTTGGGTAACTCTATTAAATTATTATCTACTTTTTGGTAAACGACAAACATTGAATTTATTAGCATCAAGAAACCAAGGGATTAAAGCAATATTTCCAGAACTTGAATCAGTAATAATTAACCAAATGTTAACATTGCCTTTTGCAAGTTGGATTGATAAAAAAAATCCACCATACACTTCATTCAGAGAAGTCAAATATGAATTTAAACTTCTATATCGTAGTAGTAGAGATGGTTTAGATGGAGACATATTTCATAAAAAATGTGGCAACATCAACAAAACTTTTGTAGTTGGCAAAATACAAAATTCAGAGCAAATAGTTGGTGGTTATAATCCACTTAATTGGAATGGGGGGGACTTAAAGCTACAACTGAAAGTTTTGTATTTAACATAAATAATAGAAATGACATTAATGCTGCTCAATTTAGTTATGTTAATAATAATAATGAATATGCAATTTGGTGTAATTCTTCTTATTTACCTACTTTTGGAGGTGGTTATGATATCCGTTTTTATCCAAATAGTAGTATTTATAATGTTTCACATGCTTATGATAACATCAATATAGTAAATGGTTGTAGATTTAATGAATTGGAAGTTTTTCAAATAATTGATAAAAATTAATCAGACAGAACCGAATTAGAGGGGGTAGTAGATATAATAGAACAAAAGGCTTATTACTGTCAACTGGGCGATAAGGAACTTCATCTTTACCATTTGTATTCACATTGCTCATATTTTTTAAAAAATACCTTGACCATTGCAATGAAACACAATGTATATTTTATTTTAGAGGAAAGCAATTCAATTGTTAAGTTGCAATAAAATGATTTGTTGACATTAACACATATATATATAAACGTTTAATATTATTCACATCATTAAATACATTATTATACAATTAAATTTAATACTTTGAATAGCTTTACCAAAAAAAAAAAGAAAATTATTTAGATAGGTATATTTGGTTGCTGACAAATAGGAAGGTGGTTAAGTTAGCTAATTGTTGATGTTGATTGTGTGAAAATATATGCCATCTATTATTTCATTTGCTGCCATATAAGTTACAATATAATGAAGATTTCTGTAGGTATTCCAGACTGTTATAATTTTTGCATTTTAGCACAACTACCCAATATTTTCACATATATTTTCTAGTGAGGTTGATAAAAGGAATAATTACTTAATAGTATTCCAAATTTAGTCAATAATATCACCCTTTTATTACACAAAAAAACGTGAATTCCAATGAATTACAATCGGCTCTTTTTTCAAAAAAAATAAATTTTATTCAAAATGTTTAAAAACTACTTTGATTTACCGGTTAAACATATTAATAAACTTGTAAATGATTTAACAAAACTGTTGAATGAATCAGACTTTTATGATATAAAGATTAAAGTTGGAATAAAACAAGGGGATTTTAGAATTTTTAAAGCTCATTCAAACATTTTAAAAGCAAGGTCTTCATACTTTAAAGCAGCTCTATCAAATATTTGGGTAAGCAGGTCTGAGGATGGTACCATTTTATTTGAAAAAGATAACATATCTCCAAAGATATTTGAAGTGATTTTAATGTAAGATTAATTCAATTAAATTAATTACTTGATTACAATTATAATATTAATGTGATTTTTTTAACAATATGTCTTTATTTTAAAAAAATTGTTTTTTTAAAAAGATATATTTATAATGGAATTATTAATAAGGATGGTTTGAATCCTTACGAAATTATTGAACTTCTTGTGGCATGTGATGAATTGGATCTTAATGAATTACTTGATGAATTGCAATATTTCTTAATTGAAAAAAAGAGTGAATGGGTTAAACAAAATTTAAATTATCTTCATCAGACTTTATCAAGTTATCTATCATTTAATATACTCCAAGATTATTTTGAAAAATTAATTAAAAAAGGTCCAGAATTATTTTTAAAATCTGATGACTACAAAATTATTGAAAAGCCCATGCTTATATCTATTTTAGAAAGGGAAGAATTAGAATTAGGTGAGATTGATCTTTGGGATTATATCATTCAATGGGGAATTGGACAAATTGAAAATGAAGAAAAAAGCATTTCAGCGTGGAATGATGAAGATTTTAAAAAGTTAAAGGATATATTGGTTGATATTATACCACTAATTAGATTTAATCATATTTCTGCAAGTGATTTTAATAATAAGATTAATCCATTTAAAAAAATTTTTGATGAAAAAGAATATGAAGGACTTTTACAATATTGTTGTTTTAATAATTGGCAGCCAAATTCACTACTTCAAAAAAGTTTAAGATTAGGGAAAGGATTATTTAATTTACAAATGAGAGTTTTAATTTCCAACTGGATTGATAATAAAAATGATTCATACAACCTAAATAATCTACCATATGATTTTGAATTGATTTTTCGAGGTAGTCGTGATGGATTTAGTGATTTTGAATTTCAAGAAAGATGTCATGATATTGAACAAACTATTGTATTAATGAAACTTAATGAAACAGATGAAATTATTGGTGGCTACAATCCAGTTGGTTGGCATATAAAAGAGAAGCCTGAACATGAAGAATATTTTATTGAAACAGACAAAAGTTTTATATTTAAAATTGATGAAAACAAAATGGATAGTTTAATATTAAGTAGAATTGAATATCCTAAATATGCAATATTTCATACAGATCATACAATTATAGACTTTAATGATTTAAAACTCTTTTGCAGCACTTTTGGAGAACTTATGTATTATTATCACTTTGATGTGGAGAGCAATTCTTATGAAAATAACTTGCATCTTACTGATAATGATATAAAATATTTTGATATAGAATCTAATTTAGTAAAAGATTATGAAGTATATAAGATAGTTAAGAAAAATTATTCATTTTTAAATTAGCTAATATAAATATATATAATATATTTCAATTTTATATTCATTTATATAATTAATAAAATTGATGTGTTTTTCTACCATTAACAAAGGTTTATCATGATTGGGAGAATAAACAAGATCATGCTATAACATGTGATTTTATCCTTACAAAAAATAATTAAAAATAAATTAAATCCTACTCTAATGAAGTGGAATTGAAAAATTTTACTGTCTATACAGTCTAAGCTCTCTATCCCAAACCTCTCGATTCTTTCTATGGTTGGCTCGGTCTAAAGACCTCCTATTGCTGCGCCCCACGCTCAAATTTCAAAAATTGCGATTTCATGATTCGTTCAAAAATGCAATAAAAACTTTTCAAAAAGGCTTCACGTGATTTTGGTTAAAAAATTTATTTTTCTTCCTGCCAAATTTAGACATGATTGTCGAGTATTAGTCTAAATTTAGTAACGATGAACTAAAACTAGTCTAAATTTAGCAATGATCCTAGCGCTCAAATTCTTCATGAGCATAGTAAAGTACATGTTTTAAAAAAGAATAGAACTCTACAACAAATAATTTTTTTGATAAAATCTCTTTATTACATTAAAATTAAAGACCTATTCCATCAACTAATAGAGCTATTTTTTTAAAAGGTAGGGCAGAAAATGACTTCTATACTTTTAAAATTTGCACAAAATTTAGGAGGTCTTTAGACCGAGCCAACTATATTAAAAACGACCATGCCTTTTTTAGAGCGTGAAGAAAAAAACCGTAACGATTCGGGAACTAATTTTATTATTATTTTTCTAATATTAAAAACGACATGCCTTTTTTAAAAGTGTGAAGAAAAAAACATAACGATTCGGAATTAATAACTTTTTAATTTAATTAAAAACATCGAACCGCGCCTTTTTTTGAAAATGTGAAAAAAATGTTATTGTTGAAGGAATTGACGAAGCTTTTTTCGAAAAAGGTTCTCCTGTTGCTTATTTAAAGAAGAAAAATGTAATGGTTCGGAATTAAAATGCAACAATTCGAAAATTTAATTTCATTATTTAACAACCATGCCCTTTTTGAAATATAAAAAATAGCGGTAAAGTATAAATCGTAAATCGTAAAAAAATAAAAATAAACAAAACAAATAATAATTAATAATTAATTAAAAAAATAATAATAATAATAAAATAACATGTGTTCTATTTTTGTTACCAATTGTTTCATTAAATACGTAACTTCTACCGAGGGAACGATCAGCGAAACTATTCTTTATAGAAATGACAATGTTTTTAGAGAAATTAGCTTCAAAGGATATTGTGACGAGGCGAACAATGTGTTGAATTTTTCCAAGCATTCAATTGTCGTCCTGGTCAGGAGATACGTTACGGAAGAGGGAGTCGAATATGTACGTGCAGATTTCCCCCATTATTAATATATCTTAAATTGAAAATTTTTTTTTGAAAATTTTTTGGTCAACTCTTCTTGATTATACATATGTATAAATGACTCTAAACCAATGGTGATCTGTTCACGTTTGTTAACACATCTTTGCTAAAATTCATAAAACAAACTTATCTTTGGAGGAATACCAACACTTATCGTAGGAGACCCAGCTCAACTCCATCCAGTTCGTCCTTCTCAAGTATTTAGGTCACCAATTTGGAAAAAAAATTTCCCGCTGTTCTTAACTACACCACAAAGGCAGATAAATGAGGTCGAAATTTACATGATCCTCCAAGAGATAAGAACAGGAACTTTGTCGGTTAGAAGCAAGCAAATAATCCAAACAAAAATTAACCAAGAAACTGACCTTTGTAGTTTCTATGATACCACGCATGTGGTCAGCACTCAAAAAGCAAGCTCAATCCCTCAACACAATATTCTTTAGTCACCTCCCTTTTGATAAAACGTGCAATGATCCAATGTTTTCTGAATGCATAGACACACTGGAATTTGAAATATCAAATGATGATCACTCAATTGTTCAATTCAAAAACTTAACAAACTTGCCTCATAAATTGTATTTACAAGAAGGTGTGCATGTGATGTTTCTTAATAATAAGCTATTTGATGAAAAAATATGCAATGGAACTATTGGAATAGTGACGAAAATTTATGATGAAGAGAATGTTGAGGTGACCTTTACTACCTTGGCCAGCATAAGCAAGGTTATTGTCCAAAGAGAAACAATTTACTTTAAAGTTTATGGTAAGTGAGTATCAAGGAATCAATTACCTCTTCAGAACGCATTTGCTTTGACTGTTCATAAAACTCAAGGATTAACCTCGCCACATCTAACATTGAATGTTGACGAAAGTATGTTTGCTGAAGGACAAGTGTATGTTGCAATGAGTCGAGCTCCCTCCCTCATTAGAAAAATGCAAATCCTTGATTTTGATTATTCCCATTAAAAATTTCCAAGGCGGTTTTAGAAGAGTATAAAAGATTGGAGGCTGTGAGCATTGATGGGTTGCAAAAACTAACAACGCTGTAAAAGAAAATATGTTTTGTAAAAATTGAATAATCGTGACATTAAATTTTTTAAAATTCCTGATGCTTGTATAATGTGATGATTACACGAACTCGCTATAACCTATGCTTACCACTAGTTTTTTTTCGTCATTATTCTAAGTTAAATTTGAATTATTCTCTGAATGGAAAATTGGGGTTATTTAAAAAATCCACGCAGATTTTTGATTTAATATTAACATTAATATACATTTTCTGCTTGGCCACGATAATGCTGTCACAAAAATTAAATTATTCTGGCATATTAGAATCGTACGGCAAAGATTTAATTTCTTATAAACTTGCAGAGAAGTGAAGTGAAGAGGGGGAAGAGGGAGCGTAGTACATTTATATAGGTGATTTTTTATAAGTTTGTGATCTGTGAAAACCGTTTACTTTTTTCCATAGTCACAAATTAATTTTAAAATTTGAATAAATAATTAACACGTATTAGAATGTCAGTATTTTTTTTTTGTGTACTGGTACACTCATCAAAAACATCAAGAATCATCGGATAAGAAAAACCAAAATTACAATTCTTTTAATTGGCCGGAAATTACTTAACAGCTAACTTTTAAACTAATTGTTGTGAAAATTGACAATAAAACATAATTTTGGACCTTCTGAGCATTTTTTTTTTTTTTTAATGGCAAGAAAACATGTTTTTGCATTGGCTTTAATGAAAAGTTCAACAAATTTAAGTTTCAACCAATGCACCTCAATTTGAGATCTACATTTATTGATTCTTGATTCAGGCGCACGAGATCATATATAATTAATCCTGCTTTTGATACCCCGAACCTGTTTCTACTTAACGCCGAAGATCATCACCCCTGAAATATGTTTGCTTGGTAATGACTGGTGTAACGTATCAAAAAATGTTTCTGCAATGTTACATGAACTTTGTTTTTTTTTATTTTAAGGGGAGCTTATTTCTTCCCACAGCTTCTTTTTCGCTTTTTTTGTGTCAATAATAACAGGTAATCATAAGTTTTTTTATTAATATTAAGAAATATCAAAGGTAAAGAATGCATGCAACATAACCATTGAAGATGGAGGAAAACTGTTCTACATAGGCAACTTGGAGACAATCCAATATGTAACACTTGATTATTGGAGATTAAAAGTGCATTACCATTACCTTTCAAATAAGTTATTCTTTCATCTTCCTTACGTGCACAAGGATAATCTGACCTGTTTCATCCAAGGATACATACAATAATGCAATAAAATTTCGGGGGGAGTAACATGGCCCTGGAATCGAAACTGCATTATAGTCAAGGAGGTTGTTAGAGCCTCTCACTTGTCCAAATCCTCCCAATTTGATCAACCCAACCTCTTCAGTAAGATATTGATAGTGGTGTGCAATAGCATAGGGTTACATATTGGCAGAAGGAAATTTTAATTAAACCTGACACCTGTGATCAATATCAGGTTTATTATTTTGAAACATTACAACTTATAATTGGGAAGCATACATGCACACACAAAAAAAAACAGAGACTCAACTACCAAGATTTTCCCACCACCATTTGGATGACAAGATGATGGAGCCAGTATCCTACATGGAAAGCTTCTCGGTTTAAAAACACCAAGAGTTCACTTTCTAACTCTGCTGAATTTCTCATCCTTTAGTCGCCAGGATATTGTGTGGCTTCTGCAATTTTTGCATGATCTTGGTATTATTACTAGGGTGATACAATTTATTTGCTATTCAAATAATAATGCATAACCTCATAAACATTGTAACATACACAATTTATGGAGATGTTGTAGGTGAAATTGAAATTAGCCAAATGTTTAGGTGAAAAATTCCTTTTAATTGATTAATTTCATTTTCGCATACAACAGAGACAGAAATATTCGTCGCATTCAAGGAAAGGATTAAATACAACAAAAAAGATAAGTAATGTTCTATTTATTTTGATTCAACCAAGAGAAAAATACATAATGATTTTAATCAATATGGAAAAATCATCAGAGCACTTGAGTAGGGTAAAAGTAGGGGTTCTGGGACAAAATAAAAAATCACATCATTTAAATGACATGGTATGCATTAAAATTTTATATTAATATGTTATTTGAACAATGCAGTATCCAAATTTCTCACGTCATTCTCAGGTATATGGCCTACCCACAAGATAATACACGATTGTTTATTAGCTTGCTTTTTTAAGAGGGCAAGGGAGTTGAATCAAAGGGGAGGCACCCTTGTCCTGACAGTGATATGAGCCGGCTAAATCAATTAGATGATTAAAAAAAAATTTCTATTGACATTCGTTTTTATGTCTGGAATTCTAGTGCAGAATTCAGTGACATAAACACTTAATTGAGATACATTGCCTTGAATGACAAAAGAGGAAAACATACATTTGCTCATAATGGAGAAAGTAATAGTAATAGTGAACCATTAAATAGTAATAATGGTGGAAAATTAGGAGATAATAACAGTAGTAATGATAATAATAATGGTGATGATAATGATGGTAGTAGTAATAATAATACCGGCAAGCTTAATA